CCCCGCACGACGGGGCCCCTCGAGTACAACCCGACCGACTTTTACTCGGACCTGCTGGCCAAGCACAACAACAAGACGCCGAGCCACCGCGTGGCCATTGCCGAGGACGGAGAGAGGCTGCTCGCCGCCGGGGCGACGTGGGACCTCATTATCAACCACGAGCTGTTCAAGCGCGGGCTCGTCGACGTCGGCGACGTCAGCGAGAGGCTGAAGAACCATGCCAAGTGCGACGGCCAAGGGCCTGTGTTTGCTGAGCGCACCATTCTGACGGCCATTGAGGCCAGCGTCGCCAGCGGCAGCGATGAGCTGCTCTGAGTCCTGGGCTGAGGCCCTGGAGGAGGACATGAGGGGGCTACGTGGCCGATATGAGGTGTTGCCGTTGTACGATGGGTCATGCGACGGAGGAAGACGGAAACGCCAGGATGCGCATCAAGGTTGACATGCTGGAGGGGCCAGGGCCTTGTGTTCTCCCTAAGGACATGGCGACACACCTGACGACAAACCGAGAGGCATCGCCATCCGGGCAAGAGTCTACGGTGGCCTCTGCGCCACCAACCTGTCGTCGCAGTTCGAGGCGCTGCGGCAGCTACGCGGCGCACAGGTGCCGAGGCCTCGATGGGGCGGAGGCCTCGATGGGGCGATCCAAGGCACAGGGGGCAGGCTGCATTTCTTGCTTTGGGCTGGGGCCGGAACTACGGGGTGTTTTTGAATTTTGGTGTTGAATTTTGGTGATGGATGATGATTCAAGGCGTTACGGGCGTCTAGGGCAGAATGAAACGATTTCATCATGATTCGTGTAATCCCTGATGCGGGACGCCGTGAGGAGGAAATGAAGGGGGTTCAGCGCGGGGGACATGACGACGGATCTGGTCGACGGAGAGGCCGCGCCGGGGTGTGTGTGTCTGCGTCGTGGGGCACGCTCTCGTAGGGCCTTGACTCGACATGCATTGCCGGGGAGTCGGGCAGGGTAGGGAGCAGAGGACATGCGGACCATGCGACGCCTTGGATGGACTGTTGCCTGGGTACCTACCTACCTTGGGTACCTTAGGTACCTTGGGTGATGATAATTCAGCCAAGTATCGTGGTCAGGAAAAGGGTCGCGTCTAGCCGGAGGGGAAGAACCATGAATCCGCGCCTTCCCGAGAACCATGTCAGTGGGGCTCTGGCTTGTTCTGGAAGGAAAGAGGGCGGCAGCCAGAACCCCCAGGCCGGAGCGGAAGGGAAGGCGCCGATAGGGGGAGAACTCTTGGAAAAGTCGGGGTCGTGGGGGCATCTGGGGCCCTGGGGCCCTGGGGCCGGGTGGGGCTCGGCGGCGGCGGCGGCGGCGGGCGGGCGGGGTGCGCGCCGTGTGGCTTGCCTTGTGGCTACGGGAGGCGCAGGAGGAACGTGGCGAGATGGCATGCACTTGTTGCGATGTCGTCTCTGGCATGTTCCTATGACTTTGGTGGGCTGCGTGAGCGTGTCATGTATTTATTGGTGATGGGCCAAGGTGTTTTACCATGGGCTGACGTGGCTGTGCTGACAACTGTCCTTGAGCATGATTGTACGATGTCCTGGATATATCTGGAAGGGGCACAGTAACCATCCAAGTCTGACGTAGATTCGTTCCCGACGACAATAGTTGAAGAGGGACGCTGCAGGCATGGATGTGTTTGGTATTGTGAGCTTCTTCTGCCACTGTCTGTCTTGATATGCTTGACTCTACCTCGAGACCCTGCGGACATGGTGTAGCTCAACAAGACGTCCTTGGTCTTCAGCTCGAATCATGCCATCATATCGCTCCTCGACACATTCATGGCCCTTGGATGATCGTTTACTGGGTTCACCTTGTGGGCCGATGAGTGATGCATAAGGTCATCCACCTAAAAGTCCACCAAGCCGTTCGCAAAAAGACGCAAAAAAGAAACAAGAAAAAGATTGTGGCCAAGTGGCACTCGTGACAGGAGTTGCAAGTTCCATTAGAAAGAGGGGATAGGAACACCCACGACTCATCCTCCCAATGCCCTACCACAAACATCATATTTCGTACACAACTCATACACCCGAATCATACATGAGCCCCTCCGCCTAACCTACTGCTCACCATGGTACATCTCCATGCCCATCTCGCCGCCCATGCCGTCCCCCTCGGCCGGCCACTCGAGCGTCATGGTCGACCACACATCCTGCACCGACGACCCCCCGTCGTCGAGCAGCCCGGCGTCCCACGGCCGCGACTCGCCAAGCCACAAGGCCCCCGGCGCCGGCGCCGTCAGGTCCGGGTCCCACGCGGGAAAGTACCCGTCGAGGCTGCCGTCGAGCATGGGACACCCGCGCGCGCCGCGCGCCAGCGTCGTCTCGGGCGTCTCAAGCTTGGCCAGCCGGCCGCGGTACTTGGCGCGCACGATGCCGAAGACGAGCTTGCTCGCCGTGAGCACGTCGATCTTGGGGGGGTCGGCCGGTGCTCCTCTTGCCGGTGCTCCTCCTACCGCCACCGCCGCCTCCTCGCCGACGAAGCGGTCGAGGAAGCCGCCAAAGTCGAGCACCGCGCGCGCCGCGGCGTCGTCCCACGACGGGCACGCCGCGAGCGGGAACGAGAGGCGCAGCGAGAGAATGGTCACCTGGATGATCTTGCCCCAGTCGCTCGTGGCGAGCGGCGCAAAGTCGGCGGCCGGCAGCGCGGCGAGGGTGTCGAGGAGGGCGCGCAGCGCGGGGAGGCAGTGGCGCAGCCGCGGCGCCTCGGCGCTGAGGAGGTGCGTCCGCGGGCCGGGGCGGGGCGGGGCGAAGCGGTGGATCGGCGCCGCGTGGAGGTAGAGGTCTGTGAAGGTTGTCAGGATGGAGAGGCCGACTGTGTTTGTTAGCTGGTTTCTTTACTGATCATGGTCATGTTTGTGACCGTAGTCATGATTGTGATCGCGATCACTTCTGTGACGCCGGTGCTTCACCAGCTGACGTCGTGCATCCCACAATGGAAAACAAAAGGAGACACTCACGGCTCTGGGACAGCAGGTCGCGGGGTATGCGGGCCCTCCACTCGTTGAACTGGCTCTCGAGGCCGAGCAGCATGAGGCGGGCCTCGTCGCGGGTCTTCTCGCCGCCGCCCTCGGGGCCGAGGTAGTCGAGCTTGTGCGTCGTCTCGATAATGTGGGCAAAGCGCACAAACCAGGCGAGCGTCTGGTCGGACGGGACGGGCGAGCGGCGCTCGAGCACGTCGCAGCACGTGGCGGTCCAGGCCGTGTGCTCGAGGCCGACGGCCGTGAACTTGACCCAGGTGACGAGGAAGCTCGACATGAGGTAGAAGCAG